TATCTGCTAAATTACATAGTTCCGATAGGTTAAAACATGGTAGGGGGTGGGGAATGGTATTATCTAAAGAAAATGGGAATACTTATGGTATTTACTATATTCGTACAGAGAGAATAATACGTCGGCAGGTAAGGTCAGTATGCACGCTTGTGTGTAGGTACAAGGCAGAGCTGGAACTCTGAAATCTCCCAAATTATGAGGTTATAACCAAGTCTTGTTGAAGTAGAAGTTCTATTCTAGTGAACTGACAAGAATATGGTACTAACTGCATTAATAGAAACATAAGTAATGCGCTGGTCAGTTTGGTCGGTATGCGCGCCTGTAGTGCAGGTACCATGTACGACTGGAATGTCAATATTTGTCAAATTACATAGATCCGATAGGTTAAAACATGGTAGGAAGGTGGGGAATGGTATAATTTAAAGGAAATGGGAATACATATGGTATTCACTGTATTTGTACAGAGAGAATAATGCGTCGGCTGGTAAGGTCAGTATGCAAGCTTATGTGTAGGTACAAGGCGGAGCTAGAACTCTGAATCTCCCAAATTATGTGGATCGAAAAGGTTATAACCAAGTGTTGTTGAAATAGAACGCCTAATCTTGTGAACTGACATGAATATGATACTAACTGCATTTCTAGAAACATAAGTAATGCGCTGATCAGTTTAAAGCCCGAGTCCCAAGTTGCGGATCGCGCGGGTCAACATTGCTAATCTTGATCAAAGGGCTTCTGAATCTTGAAAGAAAACACCATTGCAACTTGGGACTTCTGCACCCAAACACGTCCCCCCTTTAGAAAGCTTTGCGAAGGTTGGACGAAAGAGTAAAAACCCTCGCTCACAACTCTCCGTCGACTTTTGTGATACCAACAGCCACAGCCAAGCGATCAACCTTACTAAGGTTGAACAACTTGGGAATGGTATAATTTAAAGTAAATGGGAATACATATGATATTTGCTGTATTTGTACAGAAAGAACAATGCGTCGGCCGGTAAGGTCAGTATGCACGCTTGTGTATAGGTACAAGGCGGAGCTGGAACTCTGAAATCTCCCAAACTATGTGGATCGGAAAGGTTATAACCTAGTGTTGTTGAAGTAGAAGGCCTAATCTAGTGGACTGGCAAGAATATGGCCATAACTGCATCTCTACAAACATACGTAATGCGCTGGTCAGTTTGGTCGGTATGCGCGTCTGTAGTGCAGGTACCATGTACGACAAAAATGTCTTTATCTGCCAATTTACATAGATTCGATAGGTTAAAACATGGTAGGGGGGTGGGGAATGGTATCATTTAAAGGAAATGGGAAAACATATGGTATTCACTGTATTTGTACGAAGAGAATAATGTGTCGGCTGGTAAGGTCAGGATGCACGCTTGCGTGTAGGTACAAGACGGAACTGGTACTCTGAAATCTCCCAAATTATGTGGATCGGAAAGGTTATAACCTAGTGTTGTTGAAGTAGAAGGCCTAATCTAGTGGACTAGCAAGAATATGGCACTAACTGCATCTCTACAAACATACGTAATGCGCTGGTCAGTTTGGTCGGTATGCGAGCCTGTAGTGCAGGTACCATGTACGACTAAAATATCTTTATCTGCCACATTAGATAGATCCGATAGGATAAAACATGGTAGGGGGGTGGGGAATGTTATCATTTAAAGGAAATGGAAAACATATGGTATTCACTGTAGTTGTACGGAGAGAATAATGTGTCGGCTGGTAAGGTCAGTATGCAAGCTAGCGTGTAGGTACAAGGCGGAACTGGAACTCTGAAATCTCCCAAATTATGTGGATCTGAAAGGTTTTAACCTAGTGTTGTTGAAGTAGAAGGCCTAATCTAGTGGACTCGCAAGAATATGGTAGTAACTGCATCTCTACAAACATGAGTAATGCGCTGGTCAGTTTGGTCGCTTTGCGCGCCTGTAGTGCAGGTACCATGTACATCTGGAATGTCTATATCTGTCAAATTACATAGATCCGATAGGTTAAAACATGGTCGGGGGGTGGGGAATGGTATCATTCAAAGGAAATGTGAATACATATGGTATTCACTGTATTTTTACAGAGAGAATAATACGTCGGCTGATAAGGTCAGTATGCACGCTTATGTGTAGGTACAAGGCGGAGCTGGAACTCTGAAATCTCCCAAATTATATGGATCGAAAAGGTTATAACAAAGTGTTGTTGAAGTAGAAAGCCTATTCTAGTGAACTGACATGAATATGGTACTAACTGCATTTCTAGAAACATAAGTAATGCGCTGGTCAGTTTGGTCGGTATGCGCGCCTGTAGTGCAGGTACCATGTACGACCGCAATGTCTATATTTGCCAAATTACATAGATCCGATAGGTTAAAACATGGTAGGGGGGTGGGGAATGGTATTATTTAAAGGAAATGGGAATACATACGGTATTCACTGTATTTGTACGGAGAGAAATGCGTCGGCCGGTAAGGTCAGTATGCACGCTTGTGTGTAGGTACAAGGCGGAGCTGGAACTCTAAAATCTCCCAAATTATGCGGATCAGAAAGGTTATAACCAAGTGTTGTTGAAGTAGAAGGCTTAATCTAGTGAACAGACAAGAATATGGTATTAACTGCATTTCTTAAAACATAAGTAATGCGCTGGTCAGTTTGGTCGGAATGCGCGCCTGTAGTGCAGGTACCATGTACGACTGGAATGTCTATATCTGCCAAATTACATAGATCTGATAGGTTAGGACAAATGGCTAAGCCAAATGGCTAAGCCAAATGGCTAAGCCAAATGGCTAAGACAAATGGCTAAGCCAAATGGCTAAGCCAAATGGCTAAGCCAAATGGCTAAGCCAAATGGCTAAGACAAATTGCTAAGCCAAATGGCTAAGACAAATGGCTAAGCCAAATGGCTAAGCCAAATGGCTAAGACAAATGGCTAAGACAAATGGCTAAGCCAAATGGCTAAGCCAAATGGCTAAGACAAAGGGCTAAGCCAAGGCTAAGACAAACGGCTAAGCCAAATGGCTAAGACAAATGGCTAAGCCAAACGGCTAAGCCAAACGGCTAAGACAAATGGCTAAGCCAAACGGCTAAGCCAAACGGCTAAGCCAAATGGCTAAGCCAAATGGCTAAGCCAAATGGCTAAGCCAAAGGGTTAAGCCAAATGGCTAAGCCAAACGGCTAAGACAAATGGCTAAGCCAAACGGCTAAGCCAAACGGCTAAGACAAATGGCTAAGCCAAACGGCTAAGCCAGATGGCTAAGACAAATGGCAAAGCCAAATGGCTAAGCCAAATGGCTAAGCCAAACGGCTACGACAAACGGCTAAGCCAAACGGCTAAGACAAACGGCTAAGCCAAACGGCTAAGACAAACGGCTAAGCCAAACGGCTAAGCCAAACGGCTAAGCCAAACCGCTAAGCCAAACGGCTAAGCCAAACGGCTAAGCCAAACGGCTAAGCCAAACGGCTAAGCCAAACGGCTAAGACAAACGGCTAAGACAAACGGCTAAGACAAACGGCTAAGACAAACGGCTAAGCCAAACGGCTAAGCCAAACGGCTAAGCCAAACGGCTAAGCCAAACGGCTAAGCCAAAAGCTAAGCCAAACGGCTAAGCCAAACGGCTAAGACAAACGGCTAAGCCAAACGGCTAAGCCAAACGGCTAAGCCAAACGGCTAAGCCAAACGGCTAAGCCAAACGGCTAAGCCAAACGGCTAAGCCAAACGGCTAAGCCAAACGGCTAAGCCAAACCGCTAAGCCAAACCGCTAAGCCAAACCGCTAAGCCAAACGGCTAAGCCAAACGGCTAAGCCAAACGGCTAAGCCAAACGGCTAAGCCAAACGGCTAAGCCAAACGGCTAAGCCAAACCGCTAAGCCAAACCGCTAAGCCAAACCGCTAAGCCAAACGGCTAAGCCAAACCGCTAAGCCAAACCGCTAAGCCAAACCGCTAAGCCAAACGGCTAAGCCAAACGGCTAAGCCAAACGGCTAAGCCAAACGGCTAAGCCAAACGGTTAAGCCAAACGGCTAAGACAAACGGCTAAGCCAAACGGCTAAGCCAAACGGCTAAGACAAACGGCTAAGCCAAACGGCTAAGCCAAACGGCTAAGACAAATGGCTAAGACAAATGGCTAAGCCAAATGGCTAAGACAAATGGCTAAGCCAAATGGCTAAGCCAAATGGCTAAGCCAAATGGCTAAGACAAATGGCTAAGCCAAATGGCTAAGACAAATGGCTAAGCCAAATGGCTAAGCCAAATGGCTAAGACAAATGGCTTAGCCAAATGGCTAAGCCAAATGGCTCAGCTAAATGGCTAAGCCAAATGGCTTAGCCAAACGGCTAAGACAAACGGCTAAGCCAAACGGCTAAGCCAAATGGCTAAGACAAACGGTTAAGCCAAACGGCAAAGCCAAACGGCTAAGACAAACGGCTAAGCCAAATGGCTAAGCCAAATGGCTAAGACAAATGGCTTAGCCAAAAGGCTAAGCCAAATGGCTAAGCCAAATGGCTAAGCCAAATGGCTAAGACAAATGGCTAAGCCAAATCGCTAAGACAAATGGCTAAGCCAAATGGCTAAGACAAATGGCTAAGCCAAATGGCTAAGCGAAATAGCTAAGACAAATGGATTAGCCATTTAGCCAAATGGCTTAGCCAAACGGCTAAGACAAACGGCTAAGACGAACGGCTAAGACAAATGGCTAAGACAAATGGGTAAGACAAATGGCTAAGCCAAGTGGCTAAGACAAATGGCTAAGCCAAATGGCTAAGCGAAATGGCTAAGCCAAATGGCTAAGACAAATGGCAAAGCCAAATGGCTAAGACAAACGGCTAAGCCAAACGGCCAAGACAAACGGCTAAGCCAAACGGCTAAGCCAAACGGCTAAGCCAAACGGCTAAGCCAAACGGCTAAGACAAACGGCTAAGCCAAACGGCTAAGACAAACGGCTAAGCCAAATGGCTAAGACAAACGGCAAAGCCAAATGGCTAAGCCAAATGGCTAAGAAAAATGGCTAAGCCAAATGGCTAAGCCAAACGGCTAAGACAAACGGCTAAGCCAAATGGAAGGAGGGAGAATGCGGCGGGGTGATGGAAAGCGGGAGAATGGGGCGGGGTGATGGAAGGAGGGAGGATGGAGCGGGGTGATGGAAAGCAGGAGAATGGGTCGGGGTGATGGAAGGAGGGAAGATGGGGTGGGATGATGGAAAGCGGGAGAATGGGGCGGGGTGATGGAAAGCGGGAGAATGGGGCGGGGTAATGGAAAGTGGGAGAATAGGGCGGGGTGATGGGAAGCGGGAGAATGGGGCGGGGTGATGGAAATCGGGAGAATGGGGCGGGGTGATGGAAATTGGGAGAATGGGGCGGGGTGATGGAAAGAGGGAGAATGGGGCGGGGTGATGGAAAGAGGGAGAATGGGGGGGGGTGATGGAAAGCGGGAGAATGGGGGGGGGTGATGGAAAGCGGGAGAATGGGGGGGGGTGATGGAAAGCGGGAGAATGGGGCGGGGTGATGGAAAGCGGGAGAATGGGGCGGGGTGATGGAAAGAGGGAGAATGGGGCGGGGTGATGGAAAGCGGGAGAACGGGGCGGGGTGATGGAAAGCGGGAGAATGGGGCGGGGTGATGAAAAGCGGGAGAATGGGGCGGGGTGATGGAAAGCGGGAGAATGGGGCGGGGTGACGGAAAGCGGGAGAATGGGGCGGGGTGATGGGAAGCGGGGAGAATGAGGCGGGGTGATGGAAAGCGAGAGAATGGGGCGGGGTGATGGAAAGAGGGAGAATGGGGCGGGGTGATGGAAGCGGGAGAATGGGGCGAGGTGATGGAAAGCGGAAGAAGGGGCGGGGTGATGGAAAGAGGGAGAATGGGGCGGGGTGATGGAAAGCGGGAGAATGGGGCGGGGTGATGGAAAGCGGGAGAATGGGGCGGGGTGATAGGAAGCGGGAGAATGGGGCGGGGTTACGGAAAGCGGGAGAATCGGGCGGGGTGATGGAAAGTGGGAGAATGGTGCGGGGTGATGGAAAGAGGGAGAATGGGGCGGGGTGATGGAAAGCGGGAGAATGGGGCGGGGTGATGGAAAGCGGGAGAATGGAACGGGGTGATGGAAAACGGGAGAATGGGGCGGGTTGATGGAAAGAGGGAGAATGGGGCAGGGTGATGGAAGGAGGGAGAATGTGGCGGTCCACTAGGTTAGACTCTAAACCCTAAACCCTAAACCCTAAACCCTAAACCCTAAACCCTTGTGCTAGTCCACTAGGTTAGACTCTTTTCCACATCCACAACAATTGTTTCTATTTTGTTCCATGTGGTTCTCAAAATTTGAGCGCGTGAACTCTGCCTGGTACGCCCATTACAGGTGCGCATACTGTCCAGACTACCTAACGCATCACTTTGACTGGTCCACTGCATTGGATGCTTCTTCTTTTGTTCTAGTCCATTAGATTAGACATTTTTCCACATCCACAACAATTGTTTCCATTTCGTTCCATGTGGTTCTCAAAATTTGAGCGCCTGAACTCTGCGTGGTACGCCCATTATAGGTGCGCATACTGACCAGACTACCCAACGCATCACTTTGACTGGTCCACTGCATTGGATGCCTCTTTTTTTGAGCTAGTCCACTAGATTAGACTGTTTTTCACATCCACAATATTTTTTTCCATTTCGTTCCATGTGGTTCTCAAAAATTGAGCGCCTGAACTCTGCGTGGTACGCCCGTTATAGGTGCGCATACTGATCAGACTGCCCAACGCATCACTTTGACTGGTCCACTGCATTTGATGCCTCTTCTTTTGTGCTAGTCCACTAGATTAGACTGTTTTCCACATCCACAATATTTTTCTCCATTTCGTTCCTTGTGGTTCTCAAAATTTGAGCGCCTGAACTCTGCGTGGTACGCCCGTTATAGGTGCGCATACTGATCAGACTGCCCAACGCATCACTTTGACTGGTCCACTGCATTTGATGCCTCTTCTTTTGTGCTAGTCCACTAGATTAGACTGTTTTCCACATCCACAATATTTTTCTCCATTTCGTTCCTTGTGGTTCTCAAAATTTGAGTGCCTGAACTCTCCGTGGTACGCCAATTATAAGTGCGCATACTGACCAGACTGCCCAACGCATCACTTTGACTGGTCCACTGCATTGGATGCCTCTTCTTTTGTCCTAGTCCACTAGATTAGACTATTTTCTACATCCACAAAAATTGTATCCATTTTGTTCCATGTGGTACTTAAAATTTGAGCGCCTGAACTTTGCGTGGTATGCCCAGTAAAGGTGCGCATATTAACCAGACTACCCAACGCATCACTTTGACTGGTCCACTGCATTGGATGCCTCTTCTTTTGTGCTAGTCCACTAGATTAGACAATTGTCCACGTCCACAACAAGTGTTTCCATTTAGTTCCATGTGGCTCTCAAAATTTGAGCTCCTGAACAATGCGTGGTACGCCCATTTTAGGTGCGCATACAAACAGAGTACCCAGCACATCACTTTGACAGGTCCACTGCATTGGACGCCTCTTCTTTTGT